ACGTTCCTGTCACTCCTGATGGGCTCGGCCTTGGTGGGTCCGTTCTGGAGCTGCTGGAATTGGCTCTGCTGGACATGGGGAAGCTTCTGGAAGCTTCTCAAAGAAGCCACTCCTGTAGCCCCCCCTCTACCAAAACCTGGCCATGCAAACCCATATACACAGATGTATATTAATATATGTATGTAATTTATTTATTATATAATATCTAATATCTATTTATATTCTTATGTAATGATATGAATATATAATATATAAATGTTATATATAATTCTCTATATAATATAAATATTATATAAAAATATATTAAACATATAAATACCTGTAAAAATATATTAAAATAGATTAAAAAATATAAATAAATATATATATAAATATAAAATATAAAAATATATAAATATAAAAATATAAATATATTTATATTCAATAATATTTTAATATATTTTATGTGCAATATAATAATTTTATAATATATTATACTTTATATATTTCTATTTATGTAAATGTATTTTCTATTTATATTATATAATACTTTATTTTTTATTTTATAATATTTTATCCTTAGAAATATTTTATATATCTATTTTATAAATTTATATGTAAAGTGTAAATAACAATCTCAGAAGCCATGTATTGGTTTGATAATAAATTAATTATAGAGGCAATTTTTCAGTTCAGTCTTGATTTTTCAGCAGGTCTTTTTCCTTTGGTGAATTTCTAAAATATTCTAAAATGGAAAAAAACCTCTGTTAAATATTTTTTCTGATCCTTTGACCAGTATAATTTAATATTTATTGATTTCATATGGAATAATTAACTTCTTCATCTTTTTTTTCAACAAGATCGAAGAAGGAGGAGGTGGGAGGTAAATGCTCCCTGAAATTTAATTTTAAAAAGTTTTAATGAATTAAGTTTTAAAAAATATTTTTAAAAAAATTATTTACATTTATTGAAGAAAAAGGAATTAAAATTGTAAAGGAAACGTAACTAAAGTTTTAAAATTATTTTTAAATTCAAGTTTTTAAATTCTACAGGGAACGTAGATGGGAAAACTGGCGTTCTCGTTTGTTTCACCCTCATTTTGTGGGACTTTTTTTGGGGAAAACCAAAGAATTCTCCAGGAAAAAATGGATTTTGGGGTTCTGCCCCCTCCCTCCGCCAGACACAGCAGGACCCTGGTGAGTTGTCAGCTCTGCTCACCCTCGGTGCCCACCTGGTGCCCCCTCACTGTGCCCGGAGCCGGAATTCCTGGTGCAGCTGGATGGAAAAGGGCACCCAGAGGGGGGGTCTGGGCTACTCCCAGCCCCCGGGACCCCCTCACGTCTCTGAGGACACCCCCCTCCCCCAGGAAATTTGAGGTCTCCCCAAATCCCTGTTTCCCTCCCTTCAGGCAATTTGGGGTCTCCCCAAATCTTTTCTCTCCCCCCCCCCTAAAATTTGGGGTATTCCCAAATCCCTGCGTTCCCCCCAAGCTCCCTGGGTCCCCTCAGATCTCTGGGACACCCCTCCCAACATTCCAGGACTCCCAATCCCTCTCCACCCTCCAGTTCTGGACTGTCCCAGGGACTCCCCATCCCAGATTCCACAGAATTTTTGGAGCAAACAGGGAATTCAGTCAGAAAATGCCATGGTTTTGCACAGTTTTGCCGTGTGGTTTCAGAAAGGGATAAAGGTCACGCCACAAAAAGCAAAAATACGGGAAAACCCACCAAATCCAAGCACTGCCCTGCATCCCAAGCTGCTGCTATTGCATTTTGTGGGATTATTTAGGGAAAAAACACCAGGAAAAATCTTTGGGGAGGAATTTTGGGATCCAGCCCAAAGCCCAGCACAGGTCCCTTCCTATGCTGGACACGGCGGGACCCCGGCGAGTTCCCGGCACCGCTCAATCCCGGCACTGACCCCAGTGACCCCCCGGGTCTGTGCCCAGCCCGTGACCCCCACGCTGTGCCGGGATCCATCCCGGAATTCCCGGCGGAGCCGGGCGGTGAACATCACCCGGAGGTCTCTCTGTCGTCCCCGGAGCACCGCGGTGCATTCCGAGCGCGCCGGGACCTCCTCCCGCGCCTCCCGGGGCCCGTGGGACACGAATTTGGCGCTGCTGGCCCCCCCCACCCAGGGCAGGGAGGTGACATTGGTCACAGCCCAACCTGTCCCGGTGAGGACCAGCGGGGCCGCCCGCAGCATCCCGAGCACGGAGACCAGCGCGGGGTGATCCGAGCCCCACGTCTGCTCCGTCTCCGTGGCCCCTTCCAGGAGGGCAGAGCCCGGGGCCGCCCGGCAGCCCTCGTTCCGCACCGGAGCCTCGGCCAAGGCCACGTCCTCGGAACGTTCCAGGGCCGCGCTCAGGTTGTAGGCCACGTCCACGATGGAGACGTCGGACGGGCCCGTCTTGACCACCAGGACTTGATACCACTTGTACCAAACCTCCTCCCCTCCCAGCGCCACGAAAAGCGCCCGGTGCTCCTTGGAGACCTTTCCCAGCCCATCCCGGCTCCGCCCCACGAAGACGTCGACCGACGGACAACTCTCCACGGCGTTTTCCGGGACGGTGCCGAAGGAATCGTCCGCCCAATCCAAGGCCTCGAAGCCGCCGGCGTTGACCAGGATGCTGAAGCTGGAGGTGCTCTTCTCCTGCCCCCTGTTTGGGAAGTGGCAATAGGGGCCCCTGACGGGGTCGTAGGAGCCGGAATTGCAGCCGAGCTCCGTGGTGGAACAGACGAATTCCAGGCGCCCGGAGCGGCGGTTCCGGCTGGAGACGGCGTCGGGGGGAAGGTGGCCTTGGAAAAGCTCCCACTTGAGGTGGGAAGGGGGGCCCTGGTCTCGCTTGATGGGACTGTCTGAGGAGGGAATGGGGGGGTTTGAAAAAAGGGGAGGAGTTTTTGGGAAAAGGAGGGAATTCTGCCCCGGACTGGAGG